CGCTTGATTTTCGTCAATTAAAAAAAAAACTAGCCATCGAAACAAAAAATCCTTCGTTCAACGACTACTTTTCTATCCCTACATCTCTGTCTCTGTCCCTACAAAATTTGAAATTAATCGATACAGTGATTTTTGAAATATTTTAGTTACCGATTTGGAAAATGTGCTTCAGAGAAAAGTTTCATGTTGAGTATACACGCGAATAAAGTGTTAATTTTTCAGCTTCGTAGATTTTAAACGAATCAACTTGAAACTGCCTAAGATGAAAGATGATATGACTAAAGAAAATGTGAAAACCCAAAAAGTGAATTTTTCAAAATTTCTAAGTGAGCGTACCCCCTTAAATGGATACTTTTTAAGTAAGCATTTCTACGTATCCCTAGTGTATATAATACATACTTGGTGGGTGAGCTATAGCGAGGTCGTAAATCACGACGTCAAGCGAAAATATCGATTGATCTAGCCACATGTCTTACAGAAGCCCTCCAAATCTCAAGTCACAAGTGTCTAGCGAAAGACGTGAACTTTCTGACAGTCCCCGCATCTATCATTCACCCGCACCTATCTTTTCTTCCTGCTTTTATTACTATTTTAACCACTTAACGCTATGTGGTCTTGTCTGACACGTGTTCAACTAATCGTCCGATAAATGTAATTTTGTTTAATTATTTTCATTCGTTTTCCATATTTCGTTATCATCTTTATTATGGCAGTAACGTGAGTTACAGCATGATAAATAACGGCGAACTTATTTCTACACGTCTAGGAAATAATTAAAAAATAAATAAAATTGGTCGTGTAAGAAATGCGAGATTCCGGCGGCGAAGTGATGGCCTAGACTTTATAACCCCGGACATTGTATACTAATATGGATTAAGCTTTATTAGAATCACTGTATATATAAATAAACTCTAACGAAATTTAACTTAAATTGATCGAGGTGAAATTACACCCTAATTACCCTGACAGAGGTGTAATTTAACCTTTAAATGTTTTAGTAATTAATAGACGGATTTAACTAAATAAATAAATTCACTTGATTTATAGTGATTAATTTTGTAATTTAATTTAAAATTTATTAATTAATCTTGGGATCTCGACTTAACCCCGGAGACCCCAAGAGTAATATAAATTACTTAATTTGTATTTTAATTGATTAATAGAAATTTAGCCAGCTCTCAAATAGTTACTGCGATCGATTTGGGGTTATTAATAGACGGATTCAACTAAATAAACAAATCCACTTGATTTATTAGGAAGAGAAAGCGCGCGGGTACCTGAGGGTCCCATAAACTAAGCCCTTTTCCCCGGAAAGTCGAACGAGGGGGCTCCAATGATTTTTCGGAGCAACGCGGAATACGACGCGGAGAGGACACTCTGGAAATAGACGGACACCGGTGCACTTAGCAGTCGCTTAGAACTATAGTTTAATACATTTTTGGATACCACCCTATCCTGTGTTAAATTCATTTAAGTTGTGATTACAGTCGTTTACGGCACATCAAGTAGAGAATAATATGAGCGTTAAGGGATTAAATATACTGTAACGAAAGTACCGATACCGAGTTGTCTTTGTACGGCCCTGAACGAGACTCGAGCTCCTTATCTCACCTAAACAGATGTTTTAGCGATTGGATTTTATGTTCTTCCACGCCTGTCTGATTTCACGATCTCACAGTAACTCTTCCTCCAAGTACATATACTTAAGGAGTTTTTGTAACAATAAGCCGAACATACAACGCAAAACCCAGCAAATTACGATCTCGCAAGCAACACTATTCTTTACATAGTCAAATATATTTAGAAAAATCTTACCGTGTAGTTATCACTGACGTAGATAATTTAATGGAACTTCCTTTGAGCACTTCTATTCTATTTTTCTTCCTACCGTTCTTAATTTCCTTCTAACACTGTCGGATTACCCTTCAACAGTCCGTTGAAGAGCCAAATGCGCCGGTAATTGAACCGTCCCGGGAACAACTTTATTGACGGTTACTTTGAGACGCAAAGTGTACGTTCAGGCTGTTATTCAACTGTGGCCGACAACGTAATAAATTGAAAGTTACGCAACTGGAGAACAGTGAAATGGTCTCGCGTTCGCCTTGACTCTGTTTATTCTATCGTTTCCCATTTCAATTACGTTTCCCGGTAAATACTTACGTCTGGCGAAATCACCGCCACGTTCTCCTCGCGTAGCTGCTGTGGAAAGAAAATTCATAACGGCATGAGAGATACCTTTAATAATTCTTAATAATTCACTCCGCGTGTAAGGAATACAAATTACAGGTATTGCATGCTGGTAACGGCGGGCAATGCGTTTCACGTCTCGGAATAAAAAACGGTGTCATGCTGTATTCTGATAATGCTTAAAACCGTTGCGATAAGATTGAATCGTGGTAGAACTATATGAGCCTGGTTTTCCGTCGCGCTTCTCTCTTCTTATACTCTGTTCAAAATGAGAGTAACCTCGCTTCGCGCATGGGACGTGCCTAAGGCAGGGCTAGAACCACTAGAACGTCCAAACTTAACCACCTGCTGTCCGGCAAACCTAAAGTGAACCCTTTTATTAACTCCGAATGTGAACTGAAATTATCAAATCGACTCGACGGAATTCATTTTTAAGGATTGATATACCTGCGTATTAAATTCGCATTCGTATAAAGATTCGAATTAAATCAGCACAGTGAAACAAAGAACTTTTACACATTCGCAACAATCACAGAAACAAGTAGAACGTGTGACACTGACTGCAGCACGGAACAGAACGCTCTGAGCGAAGAAAAAGTGTGAGGGAGGGTGAGGAAAGATATTAACGACTCTGCTAAAATCGGGATGTACGCGTCTATACTGATACAATGGACAGCAATGCTTCTGTTTTTCTATAAGCGATTTTCAAATATTGCGTTCGCGTCTGACGAGAGGCAGGCAACTTGCAAGCCGGCTATTCTCATCAACACACGCTTCACGTATTCAGGAAATCAACTCGCTCTGACAGTGAGCCACGAAGAAACAGCAGCAAAAAGAAAAAAAAACAAATATATTACAACTAAACAAAAATTATAAATTATCTCCACGGACTGTGTGAGCATAACCAAAGTCCTAAACAATACGTTCAGTAACTCCAACAAGAATGTGGACATTAACATCATCTGGATCCCCTCTCATCAAGGGATACAAGGTAACGAAAGAGCAGACGCAATAACAAGAGAAGCTGCATCCCTCACCCCTATTGATCCAATGCTTCCAATTCCAAGACATGATTAAATCAAGCATATAAAGAAGATCATAAAAGAAGATTGGAACAACGCTTGGTCCGCTACTAAAAGTACAAGAATCCACAGTACAGTTCAACACTTCTACCAACACATTCCATTCGATAATATGAGCAGAAGTGAAAAGATTGTAATGTCCCGCCTGCGGACGGGACACACCAAAACAACTCACCAATATCTAATCGAAAAAACAGAACCACCCTACTGCAGCCTATGCCGAAGCCGACTAACAAGCACCCACATACTCTACCGAATCGCATAGACAGAGGTATAAAATAAAACTCGATACAGTCCTAACCTCACCAGACCACATGAAAAACACGATGAAATACCTTATAGAAATAAACACGTTCAGCAAAATTTAACCAATTCAAGCCATCGTCGTTGCTAATGACCTGGTAGTCGACGCGGTGTAAAACTCCGAGGAAGAGTAAGAAGAAAAATTATAACATTAGCGATGTTCGCAATATTTTTAGCGTGCTACAGCACGGTAGCATGTATCGAGTAGCCGCCCCTGTTTGATCATGTTCTAAGACATTGTAAACAAGCGAACGAATTTTCCAATTCTATTTGACTACAGTAATAGATTGCACACTTGAAATTTCTTAAAATAGGATATGAACTCTGTGCTTATAAATTCTACGTTATTATAACGGTATGATATGTTTATATCTACTCACAAGGGAACTTCGGTAACCCGAAATGTCCGACATTTTTTAAACTTTGTGGGTTTCTAGGGGACCTCGGGAGAAGTATCGGGCGATTTCTTTTTTGGCTCAATTGTGGTTCTTCGGGGTGAAAACAGCCCTTGAATGAAGATAAGTGTTACCCTATTTCCCTGTATATCTTCAAAACTATAGTAGATATAAAAAATGTTTATAATAAAAATTAAATGGCTTTTTATGCCTTATAAGACTGTGTTATTAAATTAATAAAAATTCTTTTTTTAAATAAAAAATCTTCCACTACCGTTGTGAAAAATCATTCTATCATATCGAAAAATATGTCAAATAAATGCAGATAAATATGTTAATCTTATCGGATAATGTGATATTTAAATAATTTTAATTGATACGTGCTTTGTGTGCTGTCTTCGTCGCGCTTGGAACGATGCGTTATCAGGTACCAAGTATGTGTGCGAATCTTTGGTATTTTTTTTTTTTAATCTTTTTTTTAGTATTTTAGTATTTATGTGCATTTATTTGACATATTTTTCGATACGATAGAAAATCAAAAATTTTTCACAACAACGATAGTGGAAGATTGTTTATTTAAAAAAAGAATTTTTATTAATTTAATAGCGCAGTCTTATAAGACATAAAAAGCCATTAAATTTTTATTATAAACATTTTTTTATATCTACTATAGTTTTAACGATATACAGGGAAATAGGGTAGCACTTATCTTCATTCAAGGGCTGTTTTCACAGAACCGAAATTGGGCCAAGAAACAATTGCCCGATATTTCTCTGAGGTCCCCTACAAACTCACAAAGTTTAAAAAAAATCGGACATTTCGGGTTATCGAAGTTCCCTTGTCAGAGAAATACAAAGTGCATTTTAACGACGTTGATCGATCTTTTGCCATTAGGAAAAGTAGTTCGTAGATAAAGAGTGACAAATTTAACGAACAACAGATTTCAATTGTATCCTAATATGTTCTACGCGGGCAAGGTTTGTGTGTAATAAAAATTTTGTAAAAATATCACAATGAGAAATTTTATGATTAGGTGGATGTCCCGCTCTGCCATGAGACCGGCCGAGGGCGACACATCGGACTGCATCCTGGTGGTTGGCATATCTCGACCGAAGATGGCCGCCGCTTTTCTCACGGTCGTTCTCCTCTCTCTCTTTCTGACCTTCCACATTCTCTACGATAGCGCAATCTACAGCTTGCACGCGGCCTCAGCCGTTGAGGGCCGTACCGTTGAACTGGTCTCGCAAGTCCACGCCACACCGCCATTGCTTTTCTCCAGCAAGGTGCACTTCCCGCGCACTAGTCGGCATTTACCTCAAGCAATCATTATCGGGGTGCGGAAGTGCGGCACCAGAGCGCTACTCGAGATGCTCTTCCTTCACCCGCAGATCCAGAAAGCTGCTGGCGAAGTACATTTCTTCGATCGCGACGATAATTACGGGAAAGGCCTCGAGTGGTATCGGCGGAAGATGCCTTATTCGTTCAGGGGCCAGATCACCATTGAGAAGAGTCCCAGTTATTTCGTCACACCTGAGGTGAGTGCTCGACTAGAATCACTTCATTTTTCAACGATTTTCAACTTACATTTCGGCAGATTGCTGTAGAATGTGGAACAATTCGTTCTGCATGCTATTAGGTCATCTCGTAAGCGTATACAGCACATATGGGCAACCTCCGGCCCTAATCTATTTCAGCGAAGTTTGTCTGATTCATGGTGGGAGAAAACATGGTGTGTTCTACTAACTCGCATCAAACTGACGTCACATGACTTGCGCAAAACACACCATGTTTTCTCCCACCAAGGTCTCTTTCTCACTTGACTCGAAGACAGAATGATAATTTGGCCCCCGAACTAGGAAAGGCTGTCTATGCCTGCTATAGAATATGGAACAATTCGTTCTGCATGCTATATAGGTCATCTGATAAGCATATACAGGGTGTTTCAGCTGAAGGAGGCCACCTAAATATTTTCTTTGTTTTCAACGACGTGAAAAATGTTTGTCGTACAATTTGAATGGTTTCGAAAGAGGAATAACATGGAAGACAATTTTTTTTAGTTTCTTCAAGGTCATTGGTATTTTTTTATCCAAGAAACGTGTATTTTTTCTATTGCATCTTGCAGCGGTTGAAAAAGTACATTTGAGTATGCCTGAATCATGACCTTCAGATGATTTTGAACACCAAAAATGTGATGAAATTGTAAGACAATGTTAGGATGTGCCACACAGTGGCACACAGCCGAAACAACGCATTTTTGGGAGACGTGCAACCACCCTCAACACGTTTTCATCGCACACCTCCTGGCTTCGTGTAGCCGTAGATGCCTCCATCCCAGATGAGCCCGCATTTGTAGGAACCTAGGGAAAAATATTGAGCGACCCAACGGGAATCGAACCCGGGACCTTCGCCTTACCAAGCCGAGGCTTTGCGCGCTACGTCAACCACTCCCTCTCTATTCTCCCTTGTCGGTTTCCTATTTGGGTATGGAGGCCCCGATACTACATATGTAATCTATTATTTAGCATCCCCACACTGCTAATGATGATTTACCATTTCGTTGTTTCAGGTACCTGAAAGAATTCGCGCGATGAACGCCAGCGTAAAGCTACTGTTGATAGTGCGGGAGCCGGTAACTAGAGCGATATCCGACTACACGCAACTGCGAACACACGCAGCGACCGCATCAACGCTGACAAATGAAACACCGCGAAGTGTGCAACAGCAACAACAGCAGGCGGGGCGGAGCTTCGAGGAGCTGGTGATTCGACCAGACGGCAGCATCAATGAGTCGTACAGGCCAGTCGCAATCTCTCTCTATCATACTTACATGCATAGGTGGCTAGAAGTGTTCTCCAGGGAGCAGATCCTCATAGTGAACGGGGATCAGCTGATCGAGGATCCAGTACCCCAGTTACGTAGAATCGAGAACTTCCTCGGGCTGGAGCCGCGAATCGGCAGACATAATTTCTACTTCAATCATACGAAAGGCTTCTACTGCCTGCGTAATGAAACTTCGGAGAAGTGTCTAAAAGAGAGCAAAGGCAGAAGACATCCACGAGTTAACCCGGCAATAGTCACCAAGCTTAGGAGGTTCTTTAACGAACACAACCAACGATTCTACGAGCTTGTAGGAGAAGATCTCGGCTGGCCTGAGGAATAATCGTAGAGAAGTGGTCGATACCCACGTATCACCCGGTGCGAATATCACGTGCAGCCACGAGGGGTCGTTGACTCAAATGCCTTCAGTTTTCTCGAAAAGAATTCTTTTTCGAATACGTTCGTTACTATTGCTACTAGCTGTCACTGCGAATTTTTACAATTTACGTTAATCGAATTTAACAAGAATGGAAATCACGGAGGTTCAGACCTTGGACATGGGTCAAATCCTAATCGGAAAACTCGGCTGGCTCGAGATAACTTTTTAGCAAAATGAACACGAACAAGGTTCCTGTGCTTGACATGATTAAAGGAAGCTTATAATTGCTACGAAGTACCTCGAAAAAAAACTCAATTCACGAAGATTACGTGAGAAACTTCCTTGTCAAGATTAGCAGAAATATCGTCCAGGGGGCACATTAAGTAGCATGGCTGTTGCAAAAAAAAAAGAAGAAAGAAAAGAAGAACAACATTGAGAAATATAACGACGAATTAAACTTCGTGATTCGAATTCATCAAGACATAAATTCGAGTTGAAAATTTAGTAGAAAAGTAGTCAACAGTTGTTTTTGATTGAAAAAAAAAAAAAAATGACATATTCGCAACTGTGCAATCTGGAAATGCATCGTTGTGAAGAGATTCATCGTTATCTTGGTGAATATTACGAGATCATTTGGGAACAAAATGCTTCATCTGCAACTGACACTCCCCGTTGAGAAGAGAATCAAAGCTGATCTGGATGAGTACCTTTTATATTTTACTGATTAGCTGTAAAACCAGAAACGCGTAACAGATCGATAATAGGGTAGAATTGAATAATTCACAAGCCGTCAATGTGCTCGAACACTTTTCACCGGTAACAAACATCCGTAAGAATCTCCCAAAAAAACATAATCTCGCAACGAGACAAGTTACCTTCTAATTTAAGTGTTTCGCTGGTAATTTTAGTAGAATTTCCGGCCAAGAGTTATTACGTTACATTCTCACTTAAAAGGAAAAAAACTCTGAAACAGGTTTTCCTTCATCAAAGCTACGTAATTTGAATGCCTGATTAGCTGTTCGTTAACAGCGCGCGAAGAAATAAAACAAGTTTCTTTGGCAGAGTATGAAAGAGTGGCGCAACGAGCCCCCTTAAAAAGTATAACAATTCTGCAACCTGTCTAGAAAGCACGCTCGAACACGCAAACTTGAGTGGACGCTCAAAAACTCCTAGCAACGAGTCAAACCGTTAAATCGAGTGCATGCAATTTAATGGGTGTATTCTCCGGCTAGGACACTTCATTTTTGTCGAAAATTCTGAGTCTTCTCTCGTGTTCACATTTCAGTCGGTCGTTTCTGCGACCTAATTGTTTCGAAGTGCTGCTTTTAATGCTGTACCGTTTCTGGCTAATTTCTGATCTTGACTCCGTTCGAAAAAGTTCAACCTGAGGAAATTATAGCAACTAAGATACAATTTCCTCTGTCTAACAGCTGTCCTAAACTTGATCACCATGCACAGTGATAACAGAAATCTTAAGCATACTATGCTTTATGTAGTTAATCTACTTAAAATGAAAGTATTTTAAAGAAAGTATCTTTTTTTTGTAATAAGATATGCAAACTGAAACATTTGAAATTGCCATCTTGATTTACGTTGGCATTATCCTTTATAAAGGAAGATAGGTTAAACTAAAGTTGCACAGTTTTAGGGGGGACAAAGATGGACCAAGCGAAATCGTTTTCTGTGAAATTTAGAAAATTTCAAGGTAACAATTCTTTTTTCAAACAGAAGCATATGGTTTCTTTTTTTTTAACGAGATTGCAATAGATTTTTTCTAAATGTCATCAATTTTTATGATCGGATTGGTGGTTGCCTGTGGGAATAATGAAATGACAAGAAGAAGATAAAATCGTTTTTCTTTTATTAACGTTATTTCTGTTTTGTTTTCTGATCTCAGTGGCTAATATGAAAAAGCATGTTATTGCAGAATGACATATTACAAACAGCATTACACAATGTAAGACAATCATTACTCTATCGACTACGAAAATGATCATCGAATATTTTCTGCACGTAAAACCAAGATTTCTTCTTCCTTCCCGTGATTTTATTCTTCCTATAAACAATTACTTGGTCATTAAAAAATATGATAACTATATTTAGAAATATAGACAACCCTGCTACAAAGAATACACGTTTCCATTCCAAAAAGAAAAACGAAACTCACTTGACCCATCTTGGGCTTCCCTTAAAACTATGCAAGTTCAGTATCGTCCATTTTTCTCTATAAATAATACTGACGCAAAATCAAGGTAGCACTTTAAAATGTATACCTACGTAATAATAATCACAAATTACATTTCGTCGATCGTTAAATTCTTATGTAATTTGTTCAATTTATTAAAATAAGTTCTTTAACGCGATGCGTGAGAGAGTGGCTGAAATGTGAATTGGACGTGTATATTTAACCGTAGTGCGGTCTTCGGGTCATTTTCGACCCGTCGTTTTCTTAGTCTTTTAAAAACTCCTACTGTTATCAAGTTTATATTCCCTTAAAAATTGTTACACGCAAGACCTTTGGGTCTTTTTTGCTTATAATGGAACAGAAGAACGCACTAGGGTTAATTGAATCTAAAGCTACAGATATTCAGTAATACCATACTTCTGCCAAAGAACAAGTAGCTACTTGCTAAACCAAGTCAATGTCAGGGAAGATGCCAACTCGTATTTTTACGTTCCAACAATGTCTACCACATTTCAACGTCAGATGCAACTATAATTTCTACCGAACCATCTGATAACGTCGTTAACTTAAAAACACCTGCAGCACCTCCTAATACTACTCAACGCACGTGAATAGTACTCATCTATCAAGGCAGTGCAGCGACACAAGTAAAAATACAGCATCTATATTTATGAAAGTTCTATTTTGTCTTAAGATACGATAAACTAAACGTGTACAATGAAAGTTCCCGTTCGTTCGAGAATCTACAGATAAGGGCTGCCCTTTAACAATGGGCAAAATTAAGTTGAGAGCAGAAGGTCAATAGGACACGCAGAAGTGGTTAAATGTTCATTTAGGAAGAAGTCGGGCAACGGTCCTCGATATTAGTCATAGGCACGTGTATCCTAGAGGAGCGGCCTGTCGGGGCCAAAGTGTGGGAGAGTAGATTGCTAGCGAGTCGTTACTTATTGTCAGAGGGCCGGATGTCTGTCCGTCGATTCTCGTGGCAAACGAACGAATTCGAGCACATTGCACGACGTTGTGTATTTAGGTCGATCGATCTTCAGTAGGTGAGCAGAATGATCCATCGATGCTGTTACCCGTTCCTCCGCGTGGCTGTGCGGAACACCGCACGTCTTGTTCCATCGTGCATCCACCTATACATATCATACACGTATACACAGATAGCTAAGGGAATTCGAACAGACACACGTCTACATGTATACAGGACAGACGGACGGACGGGACAGGCACTGAACACAGAAAGTAACGCCGGCCAAAATAAAATAGAGACGGGGGTTAAACGGAATGGGGCCGTTCTCGATAAACGAAGTATAAATTATGAACCTTCTCGGAATGGTCCACGTTGTCCCGTTGACTCTCGTCACATGGATCACATTGGTCCGTGAGTTTACATATCATATAGGTTAACTAGTTGATATTATAAAAGATTTAATATTTTTATAATCCACGTTGGAAGTTGTTATATGGAGTCGTTAAGCTTATTGTGTACAGGAGGGAAGCCACTCGTTTGTATAGGGATAAGAGAATTTGGAGAAGTCAGGTAAGAGAACTCTGTGATCTTGAGTTTCGTTACTCCAGCCGACCCGGTTAACCAAGAATAATTTGCTCCATGCGTTTCGAGAAGAGAGAGAGAGATGTACAATAAACTTTCTCCCCGAGGAGTGCACGACTCACCGAATCAATTAAGGGTTTGATAAATGAATTATTTCATGAATTGCGTTTATACTTTCGGCTTGTAAAGGCAGAAAGACTAGACTGAAGTAGTAAGTGTGGTTAAAGCCAGTTTTTTATACACGTTACTATTGTATCGTATTTTGTAGTGTGCAATGGTACCACGTTATTTTTTATCATAACTTAATATAGTAAAAAAAATACGTCGTCGGAAGGAATGAAAATTTAAAAAATGCATACTTTCGTTTAGCGACAAAGTAAAATTTGATAGAATAGGATCGTCGAATCTTTTGCCACTTTTCTGCTCGGAGAACGAGCGCATTCGTGTTAAGTTATGGCGCTTAAAAGAATAAGAAAGAGTTTTGAAAATTTCAAATTTTATCTACAAAATTATTTGTTTCAAAGTGAATATTTGCTAGTTACGCAGATGTGTTTGCGAAGTAAAGGCCGGTCGGTCATACACATAGTAGCAATTTCTACATAGTAGCAATCCCTCTTCATGCACCTAGGGTAACTAGGCACCAGTTTTTTCTACCCTTTGTATAAAAGTATGCCGCTTCCGTAGTACGTCAATTTGTTACTTTTCACGTTAAATCTTTAGCGTCATCGAAGCTTCGTGAGCCGAGTTACATTTTCAAATTTAAAAGCAGAGGATAGCCACTTGGCGCGAAATTGTGCCTCGACAAAGGGTAGTCAAAATGCTTCCACCGAAATTTTTTAATGGATTATACATAAAGGACGCGTGTATTGTACATAAAGACGATTTTCCACGTTAGCACACCGCGCAGCTTATTCTAAATCACTGTTGTCACTGTTCTTCTTGCGGACTTCATCAGCTTGAATATCTTCGATTTTGGCAGACGTCCAGGAGGTGACAGTCAATTTCTATATTCCTTATGTAGTCTAATACTATGGCCATGGTATTAACACGTTGACTGCCGCGCGCATTTTACGTGGTTTGCCCATGGCGCCAACATGAATTTTTTATTATGCGTCGCCGGTCACCGATGACCCCCACGGCGCTGCAGCCAAGTCGAGTGCCGGTCACCGGTGACCCCCATGGCAGTCAACGTGTTAAAGAATACTGTGCTTATAGTTTCAAGAA